ACTTTCTTGCTCTGTCCTCAAGACCTTTATGCCTTTCTGTCCTTCCACACCACCACAACCACCAAAAGCCCCAACAAGAAATTTGTGCTTTCTGCTTAATCTGTATTTTTATCTGAATGTATAGGCTCCCTCCGCTAGCTTCCTTCTAGACGTTTGCCAGTCCCTTATGAAGTCAGGGGGCTTGCACAGTCACAGATGAAGAACATTCACATACTGACTTCATGTCCTGCAGGGGACAGGAAAGAGAATACAGCACAGGAAGTTCTATTACCACTACTTGAAAGTAGTTTATCACTTTAACTTTAGAAGGTTTAATGTCAGAACTTCAAGGAGAGGATAAGTAGTCCAGTCAGGGCCTGAGCCTGAGGTTCTCCCTTCCCCTGGAGTTTGGATGTCTGTGATGAACTCGAGCGGATGTGGATTTACGTGTTGGTACCTGAAAGTGGGCACAGCCCCCACCCTGGAATGAATGTACCCTTGCAAAGGCCTCATTTCCAGAGGGTGGTGGAAGGAACAACAGAGACAGCTCCATGCCCACACACTCAGCCATCTGCCATTCCAACCACACGTCTCTCCCCTCATTTCCTGCAAATGATTCATCTATTCTTTTTCTCTGTCTTCAAAGATAACTGTGTAGTCATTTAAGGAGGGGAAAGTCATTAAGAGAAGTAGAATCTGGAGTTATCGGGATGAGGTAGAGCAGATTAAACAGTCTGGAATTTCACAAAGCAAACAGTGCAGGATGTGGACTTGAGGCTCTTGAAGCTCCCCTTGTGCATCATTCCAACAGGTTCTCATCCATTGTGTCCAGGTCAGCAAACATGGGTGCACTATGAGCAGACGAGTTGCTCAAGAGCAGAAGAGGAGAGGACAGGAGAAGGATTCTGGATCTGTGGGGACTGAGGAGCCAGGGGGGAAGGAGGATCCAAGGCAGAAGATAATGGCATTGGCAATGAGCTGGCTAGCACTGCAGGCTTCTTGCAGTGCTTTCAGATGCATTTTCCAACTGAGCTGCTCTTTATCTTACCAACCATTGTAGATGCCTTCAGTCTCTAAGAGCTGTCGAAGGATTGTACCAATGAATGTGTCTTTGTGACATTTTCTAGTAAGCAGACAAACATACCACTCAATGATGCTTTTAAAGACGACCCTGACCAATATCCAGAGAAGGTGATTATGACTGAATCCCAAAACCAAGGGGTGTTGGTGACAGTGTGCTATGTGGGAAGGGCATGAGCACATTCATCACTTGGTGCTTGGTAGATATTTGTTGAATTGCATCAAACTGTCAGAATCAACTCAACAGTAACGGGCTTGGTTTTTTTTTTTTTTTTTTTTTGGTTTGGGGGCAGATGAGCCTTAGTTCAAATCCTGGCTCTGCTCCTAGCTTGTGGACCTCAGGCAAGTTGCTAAACCTCACGTGTATGTTGTGGGATAAGGACACCTACCTCACAGGATAGGGTGAGGACTAAAGGGGGTAATTATATAAAGTGTTTCAAGTAGTCCTTGGAACATGGTAAATATGCAAATATCACATGAATAAAAAAATTCCTAATGATTGTAAATGATATCACTTCAGTTTCTGCTACATCTCCCACCCTAAGGCTAGCAGGGTGAAGAGCTCAAACGGAGAGTTGGTGGCTCTGGCCTATTCTAGACAGGCTTCTTCCATGGGTAGAAAACCAAAAAAAACAAACCCGTGGTCGTCAAGTCGATTCCAACTCATAGCAACCCTACAGGGCAGGGTAGAACTTCCCCATAGAGTTTCTAAAGAGTGCCTGGTAGATTTGAACTGCTGACCTTTTGGTTAGCAGCTGTAGCACTTAACCACTATGCCACCAGGGTTTCCTCTGTGGGCAGAGGGAGAGGCAAAACATCACTTGGGACCTGGCAAGAGGATTGCATGGGACATACTCTTTTTGTTAATATAAAAGGCAGGAGAGAAGGAGGAAGATAACCAGAGCCTGACCGACTTTCCCCATCCCCACAGCCACCATATCCCTTGTGGTAAGCAAGGGATCTTTTGCTCAGCAGAACATAAAGATCCCAGATCAGACCGAGTTCTTAAACCCTTCCAGTAGGGCGCCTCCAATTTCTTATCTGTAAAATGAGCATTATAGTAGCACTTATGTCTTGGGCTATTGTAAAGATGAAATAGGATAATCCACGTAAACTGCTGAGTATGGGGCCCAGCACATAGTCAGCAGTACATAAATGTTAACTACTGTTATTATTTTTTATCCCATGTCAGTATGTGGAATTGTTAACAGTTTATTCACTCATTCACCTGTTTATGATTGATTAATTTTCATTTAAGAAATGCTTGGTTACTCAATTACTCCATTCATTTATTTATTATCAGACATGCTTTGAGGACCTATTTTGTTCTGGGTCTCTCAGTGATGCAGATAGTTAATGTGCTCAGCTGCTAGCCAAAAGGTTGGAGGTTCAAGTCCACACAGAGATGCCTTGACAGAAAGATCTGGTGATCTGCTTCTGAAAACCCAGCCATTGAAAACGCTGTGGAGTACAGTTCTACTTTGACACACATGGGGTTACCATGAGTTGGAGTTGACTGAATGGCAACTGGCTTGGCTTCATACTGTGCTAGACTTGGGAGATGCCACGATTTTTTCTGCAAAAAGGCTGAAGGCTAGTTGGAGAGAGATGTGTAAAGAAAAACAAGACAAGACACAGTGTGGCAAGTATCATAAAGGTTGTGTATAAAGTGCTCTGGCAGCCCAGAGAGGCTAGGAAGGGCTTCACAGGAAGATGCCCCTTTTTGGACTAGGTCCTGAAGTATGAGTAGTCTAAGGAGTTTGGGCTTAGGAATTCCAGGTATCAAAAACAGCTTGAGAAAATGGACAGAGTTGTGAAAAAACTGGGCTGGGGGCCATGAGGACTTTGGTGTGGGTGGTGTTTGGCTACTTAGCCTGGCTGCCTTCCCCTGAATTCAGGCTTGACCCTTGGCAGGGGCCACAGAACCCATCTGCAGCTCAGCCCTAGCCCAGGCACTGTGCTCAGTTCTATTCTTACTTAGAGGAAATGTAAGTAGCTCATGAAACGTAGTATCAGGTCAGCTGGACTCTGGGTTCTGTTCCGACCTCCTGTCCCATTTCCAGCTGTGAGGTTTCTACTTTATTCTTTATTACAGCATCTGGCCTGTTTTACAATTCTAATAACTGCATTTCTGCCTTATTCCTTCTTCCGCATTCTGCCTTTAAGTTTCTCTAAGATGGGACTCTGCTTTTTCTTATCAGTCCTACCCAGAGCCCTGTCCCTCCCAGAGCCCTATCTTTGGCCCTGGGGCCCCACTCTGGGCTGTTTGGCCCACTGATGCTGATCAACTGCCTGGCTTCTCCTTTCCATCTCCTGCACGTTGGACACAGTTGAGTCTTTGATGACAACCATCTGAGAGAAATTCCCCCTGCCCCGCCCCTCTACTGCCTAGGCAAAAATTCCTATATACAACCTGCTTCAACTTCCTGAGAAACTGCCCCCAAGACCCTCACCCTCATGTCTAAGTCTCCCCAAGCCTGCTTGACACACTACTGTTTGAGTTCCTAAACTCCACGCTGACTATTCCAATGAAAAATGCACCACCCTAGTGTTGAAGGGGCTTCCCTGGGTTAAGTGCTCAATTACCAACCAAAAGGTTGGCGATTCAAGCCCACCCAGAGGCACCTTAGAAGAAAGACCTGGTGATTTGCTTTCGAAAGACCACAGGCTTGAAAACACTATGAAGTGCAGTTCTACTCTGCACACATTGGGTAGCAATGAGTCGATTAACGACTTGACAGCCACTGGTTTGGTTTTGGTCTTTGGTGTTGAAAGTAGCACCAAACAGATGCTTTTATCGAGACAGGTTTTGCCATATGCTGTGGTAAATTCCCCACAAGCATTGAGACTCAGAAGCCATCCAGTAAAAGCTACTGGAGTGTATGCTGCCATGCACCTTGGTTGTGTGGGTCCGGATCTGCCTGTGCTGATGAGCATTTTATATAGCATGTATCATTTTCCTTAGCGCTGCTCAGACTGTTAGGATATCAGTCATATGCTACCAGCCACAACTTCTAAAAAACAAACTTGGGAATAAAATCACAAAAGGAGATGAGAACCATTTGGAAGTTTGAGAACCCACACGTTCTCTATGTGACTTTTTTTTCAGGAAGCATTTCGAAGTTTCAACCTGTTTTAATGCTAGCCCATCTGGCTGCTTTATTAATGAAAACGGCAGCATCTTCTAATGCTCTCGTGTAAGGCAACAGTACTTTCCAAAAAATCACAGAAAGAACTTTCGGAATTGATGTGCCATATTTTGTCCTTTTTTTTTTTTTCTTTGAAAAAATAAATCCCAACTGGAGAGCCTTTGAGAGAGAGTATGTGCATAGGAACGTTCGGTGAGTCATGCCTGGTGGTGTATGTCTATTCCGGTGTGTGGGGTTTCCAGAACAGTTACATAAGTGTTAGCATAGCCAGGAACTTTTGACATTCGTGGCAGCTTAATGGAGTTCTTTTCATCGTTGAAAATATCCTAATTGTTATTTCCTTAAATTTAAAATGCATAAAACTGGTGAAGCAGTAGAAATGGATTTTGAGGCATTTCTATCAAGTATGCTTTGTTGGCAAAGAAACTGAAGAAAATTATTTTGAAATGAAATACAGGTGATCACACTATAACAAACATAATGATCTAATCACCCAGCAAAAATTGCCTGGGAGGGTAAATTTTAAGTGAACCTTCTTTTTTTTTTTTTTCTTCTACCATTCATCAAGATTTCCTTTCCAACCTTAGTGCCTAAAGCATATTTTTTTACCTGCACAACCTTACTCATGGGACTTACTCAATAGCAAGATTTTGAAAATGTTAGGATTCCAAAAGCTACGAGAACACATCAGTACCTTGCTTTTATTTTTTTAGAAATTCATCCAGGATAGAAAGTTGATATCCCAAATACCACTATGTTTGCTAAAATATTAATTTTTCTTAATATACCCAGACTTCAAGATATCTTCTAGTAAAAGAAACTATTGAAAGACCCAACAAGAGCCATTGTCAGTTCATCTTTTTTCATCTCAAAAGTAAGTACCCTAAATCCTGGGTCTTAGGGACTTTCTAGGGAGGGTGGAGCCTTGGTGTCTGTAGATGTTTGCTCTGCAGTTTGTACAACTTTCCTAGAGATAAGAGGTTTCAGTTATGGGTATTACTGTATTTATTGATTCAAAAGACACAGTGCAAAGGACAGGCAGGCAGAGTGGGGCTCTGACTCATAGAGGTTATTGCCATGTTTGCCCCTTTGGAGGGCAAAGCACAGTTCACCAAGTCCAGTTGAATTCTTTCTACACACCCAAGTGTGGTAGGATTCTTTCCACATGACCACAAAACACCTTTCCTCTGTAGCAGAGCTGATAGAGTGCCCTGAGAACACCCTAGAGAAGGTGTGGTGAGGCTGTGTGAACTGCGTGGGCTATGGCCATGTAGGTGATAGTGTAAATGGGATCACAAATATCCTTGTAACACCTAGTCATCAATAGAGTTTGCTTGTTGATGTTGGAGTACTGCGTGCTATCCAGGACTGTTTCTAAGAATCGACTTGAATATGTACCCCTGGGCCCTATGAGACAAGATGAAAAGAGAAATTTGGTATCCCTGCCAAGTTTCCTAGATAATGGAAAGATTTTTATAGGAGGAAATGATGTGTTCATCCCAGGGCTGGGAGGGTGAAAGTGGAGGAAGGCAGTCTTAGCAAATAAGAAAATGCTGCCCAAACCAAGCCTAAACCAGAACATACCTTCTAAAGCAACAGAAAGGAGTTGAGGGGAGCTGCCTCACCTTGTTTTACTGAAAAGCTCCCCATCTTCTTAGTCATCTATATTCCATGATTTCCTTATCTAGTAGTCAGCAAGTCCAACTAGCTCTATTTCTTCTGATTCTGGAATCCGTCCTCCCTTCTCCATCTCTCCAGTCACCGTCTGAGCTCAGTTCCTCACCGTCTCCCACCTGGCTTACTACAGTAGCCCCCTAACTGGTCTCGCTGCTTTCATTCTTGCCCCCAACTACCCATATTTCACCAACAGAATCTTCCATGTCTTTCCATTATTTGACACCTTTAATGTTCTGTTCCCTTCAGGGAAAAGTTCGAATCCCTTAGCATGCTGCATCAGACCATATGTAATCTGACCTTTGCCCACCTTCCCCAGGGTCTTTCTTTTATCAGTGTTCTCATAGTGACCTTCTTCGTTATAGCCATTGCCAATTATATGTACTTTCTTGATAGTACAATGCACGTCTAGGATTTTTGCTCATGCTGTTGCCTCTCCTAAAGTTTCCTTTCTCCTCATCTTCACCTGGTAAATGAATAATCATCTTCCAAGACTCAGTTCAAAAGCCACCTCTTCTGGGAAGGCTTCCCTGATCTCTTCAAGGGGCTTCCAGTGGTGCCTTCTCCTGATGCCTTCTTTTTACTTTTACTGTAACGCTTAACATACTGATGTAATTATTTTTCTATGTCTTGTCTCTTTCCCACCACCCGACTCCTAACCAAATAATGATCTTTTTGAGGTCAAGGACAGTGTTCTATTTATTTTCATATCCTCCCAGGTCCTAGCAGCACAGTGCCTGTTGTATACTATATGCTCAATAAGTGTTTGTTGCATGAATAAATGAAGGAATAAGTGTATGAATGAGCAAATGCTTTGAACAAATTTCTTTAAAGGACTAAACTTTGAAAGAGCTATGTAACACCAGTGCTACCATCAGAAAGCTCAGTGGGGCCAACAGTTATGGGCTGCTACTAGAGCTGATAGAAGAGAAGAAGGCTGCCTAGTCATAAAAACAGTCTGAGGATGTGAAAGAGGCAACAGGGGCCCCAAGAGAGGACATGTAGAGGACTGTGGTACTTACAATATTGTTTTGTTGCCCAATAAGCTTTCTTGGTCACCTTCTTCCAGCAAATTACCCCTCCCCCAGTCACAACAATAGGCTTATGATTTAGGCCTGGCCAGTCAATGCCCCATATTCCCCCTGGACATGTGATTGGGCCAGGAGTGGGTATGTGACAAAGCTAGCCAATCCTATGCATCCTCAGGATGTCTCTATTTGGGAGCTAGAGGGGTAGTGGTTTTGTTTCTAAGGGCAGGAAGGAAAACTGAGACTACTAAGTCAAGGTCTGTCTGTGATTGGAGAGAATGAAGCCACACAGAGACAAGTAGTAATGATAAATAGTAGATGGAAAGCCCTTTCAGAGTGGGGTTCTCATTCCAGTTTCTGCCACCCATCCTTCAATTCTGTGGGCCAGTCCAATATTCTTCTCAGTGGTATATGAGATAAATCCCCTTTGTTGTGCTTAATCTCATATAACTTGGGTTTATGTTTCTCACAACTGAAGGAATTCTGGCTCATAGAGAAATCTTGGGGCTCCAGAAAGTGTAACATGAGTCTCGACTGTGGGAGCTGTTCTTGGAAGTGGCCAAACCCAAGGCATATGAAGCCCAAAAGCTGTCCTTTGGGACAGCCATAAATGAGACCACCTCAGAGACTTGCTACATGGGTAGTGAAACAAGCCTTAGTGTTTGAAGGGCTTTACCTGGCTCTCCTGGGCATTAGTCACCCCAAGGAGAAGGAGCATAGCTTCTCTCTCTTTCTTTCTCCCCTCCCATCCCCTTCCTCCCTTCCTTTTTCCTTCCTCCCCTCCGCTCTCCTCTCCTCTCCTTTCTCTTAACTAAATGAAAGAGAAGGAACTAGTATTTATTGAATACCTACTGCATGCCATTATGTGAGGTGTTCTCATAAACATCATTGCATTTTAATTCTCATAAATTCTCTGCATTTTAAGTAGAAGGGCCCCTAAATTTTGAAGAAACCAAAGTTTAGAAAGCTTAATTGGCTTGCTTAAAAAAAAAAATCTTGAAATCCCAGAAGTTTGGTAGTTAAACAAATAATTTCTTTCATGAGGATCAGCACAAAGCTGGTTCCTACGAGGTGGAGGTTAAAGATGTCCCAAATGTCTAACTTTTCCAGGCTGCTGTACCACTCCCTCATCTCTAACATCAACTACTCCCTCTTGCCTCAGTACTCTCCCTCTGTCTTTGGGTTCCCTAATTTCTTGCAATGTCTCACAAAACTCATGGACCATATGAAGGAAATGGCTCACAAGGTTTTGGACGTTGGCAAGTCCCAAATTCGTGGGTCTGGTGTAGTTTTGGAGGCTGGCAAGTCCTATATTCGTGGATCAGGTGTAGACTTCTCCCTGGCCCTCAGTCTCTGCCCAAAAGCACTCAGCTTTCTTGCTCCATGGGTCTCTCCTCCTTTGGTGATGGTGAGCTCTCCTCGTTGCTCTGGAATTGGCTCTCTTTTAAGGCAAAACTGACAAGTCCCCTTTGTAGGCCACAGTAACCCTGTCATACAGTCACCTGGGTGGGAGGTACAAGACCATGACTATAAACGCCACACACAAAAGTAATTAGTCTACCACAGTAGTGTAGAGTGGAGGGAGGGAATTTTTATAAAGGGTGGTATCAAAGTTCAGATTTTCACTGCAAGTATGTACAGAAGGAGGATCACATAGTAGCTCACACACAGATTTCACTGTGAGGTCAATGCTTTGTATATCCGCCAGTATACCATTGGTGGCAGAAGAGAATGAATGAGTATCTAAGTCAGGGGTGTCTGAGGTGGTAGCCTAATGCAGCCACCACAAGTATCAGTCTCCTTTGAAGTCTCCTGTTGTGTCTTAAAATGCTTATGCACATTTTGTTTTCAACTCCATGAGCTTGTGTTAATATAGAAACAATTTTCCCCAAATTTATTTTATGAAAACAACATTTTGGGAAGATAATTATGTTTGTTCTGTGGCTACCAGTGCCTCTAGCACACTACTGCATACCCCTTGAAAAGCATGAATATTATCAATAAAAGTCCTCTTTGAACCAGGGTTACTACATGTAGAAGACATCGTATCTTCACTTTACAGATGAAGGGAGAGAAATTAAAGAAACTCAGACTCAGGGTACCTAAAGTATTGGTGTACATATGAATAATCACCTGTATATACATAATCAATAGAAAGCATTAAATCAACTGTTTTTTGTTGTCTAGTGAAGACCTCCATTATTTGTTATCTATGGATCACAACTGTGGAGGAATCCAAGTGAAAGATCTGTTCCAAATAAGAGAGGACTGATCTGGCTAGTCAGGATTCTTTGCATACAAACAACTGGCTCTACCAACAAGCAAAATGTGAATTTATTGGAAGGATTTCTGTCAGCTCTCAGGATGGGTGAGAAGACTTGGAAATTGAAAGAAACTGGTGCTGGTGGAGTTGGGACAGACCTTGGAGCGATTTCAGTGTTGTCAGGGCCCTGCTCCAGGAAGAATGATCTTTTGCTATTTCCCCATCTTTCTACCCTTGCTCAATATTCTAATTCCATGGAGTGAACATTATTCCACATTGGGTCACGTGGCTGTCCAGTGGTCAATAGATGTTGAGGGCACCTAGATTTAAAAGCCCTACCAGACCATCCAGTGTGGGAGAGGTAATTCTTCAAAAGGAAATCAAGGTGGAGTGGATACTGGGTGATCAAAAATCAGCATGTGCCCACAATAAGTGCAATGGACAATACATATTCTCCTATTGGAGCCCTGGTGGCATAATGGTCAAGAGCTCGTCTGCTAACCAAAAGGTCGGCAGTTCGAATCCACCAGCTGCTCCTTGGAAACCGTATGGTGCAGTTCTACTCCGTTGTATGTGTCACTATGAGTAGGAATCGACTCAACAGCAACAGGTTTTATTGTACTCTGATAGCTTGTTGATGTATCTCTCTCCCCAGTAGGACCTTAAAGGAAGAACCATGTCTTACTCATCTTTGTATGCCTGACCTGCCATAGACATTCATGAACATAAACAATAAATATTCATTGTATGAAAGAATGAATCAATGTCTCTTTCAATGAAACCTTTGCTCTGTCTAGTTTATAAGCTTCCAGAATTACTATATAGTTCCCCAACCTCAGCCTTCAGTGATCCTTCTCCCTGACTCACAAGCCCTTGACACTGAACTCAGCAGCACTCAGTCCACTCACA